AGCGATGTGTAAGCGTAACAGGCAGCAATTTTACTACAAATTAATCATAAGACACTCATCTTTCATAAGAAGCACAAATAAGCATGATCGCGTTACGAAAACGGCTCATATTTACAAAATATTTGCTTCGACATCACATTTCTTCATATAACGCCATATTAATTATCGCTCCTTTGGGTATCCGGAAGTAAATTTGCACGCTTGCGAGTTGGCTTCACTTTTGATAGGTATAGAAGCTATATCCAGTGTATTATTAGATCAGTGGTCTTCCCAGCTTCATCATCAGGTAGTTGGCAACATGTGCAACTGAATACATGGTATCACAAAATATTATAGTTTTGGGAGTAGCAATACCTTCATTCTTTATCTTCTCCACAATCCAATCCAGCTGAGATAGCATTTGTTTTTTTGGAACCTTGATGACACTGAACCACAAATTGAGACGATTCGGGCTGACAGAAAACTTTGTGGGGTCTTTCAGGGCTAGGTTATGACAAATGACATCCTGGGTTTCTTGATCTGCTGTTCCAGTTAAAGCTAATAATGGAGTACCTGGAATAAAAACATGAATGAAAAAATAAAGGAAGAAAGACAATGTAATTTAACATGACAATGCTTATACAAATAACAAAACTTTATTTTGCTTGTCAATAAACATTAACATTTGAGACTAGGAGTATATTAGATAAATTGTAGAAACAAAAATAATATAAATTGCTTGCCTTTTTTGCACATTGACCTAAGAATTGCAAGCTTTCCATAAGCTTCTCTGAAAGCTTTCCTGTCCTTCGACTTTGATGATTTGCCCTTTATGTCTCTACACAAAAAAGACGAAAAACGTCCCAATGTACCGATATGCGATATGAATACTTAGAAATACAATACCAGATTGGCGTGAATGTCATACTACATAACTAAACTTTTAGAAGAAGCGGTTTCAGAAAACCGGTCTTACCGTTTTCCAGTCCATGTCTCAATTGTATGAGACTCATCCACAACTATTGCTTCCACAGACTTGTGTAATTGTGAGCCATCATCCTTGAGCATATCAAGAAAATCTTTGTCTATACAATTTTCCGCGCTACAATATATAAATTGCGGCGGAGATGTTGTAATTTGATGAATAGTTTCCTTCGAAAGCTCCATCGCAGAGCAATTGAACGAAGATACCTCTAACACTTGATCGCATATAATGCTTTTCAGAGGAGAAACCACAAGCACACTGCTTTGAGAAGAGCCTCTAGTCTGTTCGACGAAACTGCTACGTGCCAACAAATACACGATAAAATTATACTTTTACCGAATCCTGTCGGCAAAACAGCCAAGACATCATTTCCTTTTAATAGTTCCTTTACGGCTGTCTCTTGCTCCGTCTTCAACACCAGCTTAGATGAAGAAGTCCTATACGAATTTAGTATACGAAGCGCATTCTCAATATGAAAGTCAAACTCGACACTGTGCTCCAAAGCAGACGCCATGTTTGTCTAATTAAGTTGATATAATAATAAACTTATTAACAGCCGTTGGGTTTTTAGCCAATCACGTATTTTCAGTCCACCAGTGGACTGGCAAACGAAATCATATAGAAACCCGGCAGACGGTTTTTCCCCCTGCCGCCTAACTTTTCCCGCCCTAATTTTCCCCGCCCGCAACCTCCCCTAAAAACCGTCTGCTACGCAGGCTATAGACAATACAGTATATCGACAGACGATAGTATATCCTAGGCTCCTAGCGACATAGCGAACAACTATAGTTACTGTAATATACACAAACAAGGAAACAATACTATTTCAAAAAAGCTCTTGTTGTTATATTCGTCTTGTATACAATCACATTTCCCTCAGTCTCTACCTGTCATCAGATATCTATATAAAACGTCTCTTATTACTTAATCCCTATTAAACCATATAATCACTAGCATATGTTACAATATCCCCCTCTTTAATTGAGAGCGTCCTCGATCTCTAGTTCATTATAAGTAATAGCATGGCTTGAGGGAGATTAGTGATTAAATGGCCCCGTAACCCGAGGCAGGTTTGCGGAATTCCCGAGGGCGAAGCCCGAGGGAATTCCGCAAACCTGCCGAGGTTAAGGGGTCATTTAATCACTAATCTCCCGAAAAGCCATGCTATTAGTTTGTAATAGCATAGTTTCGCTCCCATTTAAAAATGGACAAACATGCCCTACTTGGAATCAGCGTATTTAAGCTAAACCATTTGCTTCATTGCTTGTGGGATGTAAAAGCTTGTTGCACATGCGCACTTTTTACGCTTTAATCGGTTACGCATGCGCAATCTATCATTTAACGTACCACAACAAAAACGCTAAATATATTAGTATAAAATTGGAGACTGCAAGAACGTAATTTAAATGATGCGGCAACTCAGGGATCGGATGATAGACTATTGACGGCTCTGAGCTAACTGTTGCTGTTCCTTGCACGATTATGTGCGTGAGGCACTTGCCTAATACGTAGTCGTCAGGGAGACAAAGGTGTGACCCTTGGTAACGGGCGATTAGTTCTAATCGCCCGCTTTGTCTCTGTTGAAACAAAAGAAACCCGGGCAACTATGCTATTATCTAAGTTATAATCCTGATATCTGTCAGGTTGTCGGCGATTACGGTTAGACCTACGCAATTGGATCAGCTCCTCTGCTGGTAACAGCTGTGCGTCCGCCAGCTTCTCTCCGTGATGTATCACTGGCTCGCCTGGGAGCAATTCGACTCTCGAGTTGTGCTTTTCTGGTTGATCAACAGACAGGGTTTCTTCGATTCTAGGCTGGCGTATGTCTAGCTTAAGTCGATTGCGATGTACCACTTTTGTCTTACCGTTCCCAGACCCCGGCTTGATATGGTAGTTTACCTTGCCCAGTCTCTTGATCACTACGTAAGGCCCCGTTCACGGTGAATGGAATTTTCGGCTCAAGCCCTTTGGTACCGCTTTGTTATTGAGCCACACGCGATCCCCTTCCTTTAGCGCTGTACTTCGGTCAACGTCATTATGTTCGTCGTACCCTTTCTTCTGCTTACTTTGCGCCACGTCAATGTTCGTTTTGATGCTGCGATGTATGTCCTTTAATGTCTTCTCCAGTTCATCACAGTAATTTGAAATAAACTGTTCCTTAACTTCAGTTTCGGTGTTCATAAGTACCAGCGGTGTAGTGGCTTCGCGACCATAAATTGCCTGGAAAGGTGAAACCCCAGACGAGGAATGCACACTGTTACGGTATGCAAACAAGGCCAGTGGTAAGTGATCGTCCCAATCATTATGGTCCTTATTTACATAAGCTGTCAGAATTCCCTTTAACGTGCAATTCATTCTCTCAACTTGTCCGTCCGTTTGGGGATGGTACGGCGAAGTTCTTAGTTTTCGCACACCGAGGAGACTGAACACTTGCTTCATGAGATCGGCCTCGAAGTTTCTTCCTTGATCGGTTAGAAGTTTACTTGGGACTCCATGTCGAGTTACTACTTCATTAACAAAGGCTTTAGCTACCGTCTCGGCACGTTGATTGGGCATTGGCACCGCCTCTACCCACTTGGTAAAGTGATCGGACATAACCAAGATGTACTGGTTCCCCCGTGCAGTCATAGAAAGTGGACCTAATACGTCCATAGCCCACAGTTCCATCGGTTGTCCAATTTCTATGCTCTGCATGGGTGCCTTTTGAGATGGGACGGGTGTTTCCCGTCTGTTGCACTTTTCGCACTCGGCTATCCATAGTTGCACTTCTGCTGCCATTCCCGGCCAATAATATCGTCGTTGCAGACGTTCTAAGCAGCGGTTTATTCCCATGTGTCCCGAACATGGGTCATCATGAGAAAGTTTTAAAAGGTCGCAACGCATCTTTCGAGGGACAACCAAAACTAGTCGCTTCGATGGAGTACCTTTATCTACACAACGGTGTAGAACGCCATCTACCATTTCTAGTTGTGACCACAACTGTCTAATTTCTAGTTGTGACCACAACTGTCCTAATAAGCTGTTAAAAATAGCAGCTGCAATAATCTCACCATCATTAACTGATATATTTGCCAGATCAATTAACACTGGCATATTTTCATCCGAGTGGAAAATGGCTAGAGTAACACCAATATTTAAGAAAGGAAAAAGGAATGATCCGAATAACTATCGACCAATATCAGTTATTTCAGCTGTAGCCAAAATCTTCGAAAAATTAATCTTTGAGCAACTTTATAATTACTTCAGTTCTAACAGCTTGTTAACGCATTGCCAGTCCGGTTTCAGGTCGTTACATAGTATACTTACTGCTCTTCTTGAAGCCACTAGTAACTGGTCAGTTAATATTGACAATGGCCTCTTCAATGGAGTAATATTTATCGACCTTAAAAAAGCATTCGATACTATTGATCATCAGATATTGCTGCGGAAGCTTCGAATTTACGGTATGGATCAATTAAGTCTCGAATGGTTTCAGTCTTATTTGACCGGTCGATCTCAGAAATGTAATATTAGAGGTTGCTTGTCATCATCTGCATCAGTTACACGTGGTGTACCACAGGGAAGTAACTTAGGACCATTACTCTTCCTTGTGTATATTAACGACCTTCCTAATTGTCTCAGTGCAGCAGTACCGAGAATGTTTGCTGATGATACAAACATTAGTTATGCGGCCAACACTATCGCCGAACTAGAAAATGTTATTAATTCGGAATTAAAAAATTGAAAAGCTGGTTGGAAGCGAACAAATT